CTGTTCAATTCAGACACAGAGGATGAGGACTTCGATGGGTTTGATGATAAAAATGTGAGTACCAAACTTTGTTTTGCTCCTGCTTTATTTTTAAATACGCACACTTGTATGCTTGTGTGTTGTTGATGATGACGATTATTGGTAATAAAAATGTGAGTAAGGTACCTTACTCACTTTTGCTGCTGCTTTATTTTTAAATATGCACACTTGTATATTTGTGTGTTGTTGATGATGACAATTACCGGCAATAGAAATGTGAGTAAGGTACCGAATTCAGGTTTGCTCCCGCTTTATTTTTAAATACGCATACGGTACTTGTATGCGCCCTATGGTCCAGTGCGCCTTATGTGTGTGTTAAATACAGTAAGGGCACACATAACTGAGACTGCGCCTTTTAGCACAGTGCGCCTTATGGTCGTGAAAATACGGTATGTTAAATCCTCTATCAGGAATTTAGGTGTCACTTTTGACTCGACTCTCACATTGGATGGGCATGTGAAATCTCTGGTTTGGTCTTGTTTTTATCATTTAAGAAATGTGTTAAGCCCTATTTTATCTCACTCGAAACTGGAGATAGCTATACATGCATTTATTTCCTCACTATAGAGATTGAAAATGTGACGTCATTTCCGGGGTAAAATCGCAAAGGATTGTAGGTACGAGTGGCAAGCGGTACTAGCGCATGCAGGCTTTCACATGAAAACAGTCACACAGCAATAAAAAGAAACACAAAGAATGGCAAGAAGCTGTTGTATTATTAACTGCAATAGCCAGTCGCAAGACAGCCACGGGAAGCTGACGGGTAAAGAGATTTTTTATCAGATTACGTCATGAAAGAGAAACTGTTCAAGCCATGTTTCCAATGTAACAAAGAGCAGACAGATGGCCTGGATTGCAGCTATTCGAAGACCAAATATAACATTCCAGAACACTCCAGCTCACATTTAAGTCTGCTCCAAGCATTTCCACAGAGTCTTCTGTTGTAGTTATTACGTAATTTATCATAACATAATTGTTGATGTAGGTTACAATTAAGCCTTATATTGATTTGAATTGAATTGGTTTCGCTATGCTGCTTTGTTCACTGTGGCTTTGCGTGCTAATATTTGTAGTGTTTTGTAGGAAAACCAGCCTAAATGCTGGAATGCGATCCAGACTGGGAACCCTCTATCAACCTGGGTCATACTAAGTTTAAAGCTGCTACCATAGCGAGATTTGATTGGTTAAGAGAGAGAGAGCGATATCAAAACAGCCACAAAAAGTCCCGTATATACAGTATGTGTCCAAGGGTTGTATTGAAGCAATCAAGTGATGAATAACTGTTTTCCAGTATGTTATTTTGCAATGTTTTTTGCATTATTGATTTGCTAATAAAGCATAATGGAATACAATTTTGCCTCTTTCTTGTAAGATTCTATAATAGAATGAAACAATATCGCCAGTTATAAATAAAGACAATAAATTGAATGAATTACGAAACACTTATTTTATTTCTATTAGATCTGAAAATGTTGTGTAATACTACAACCTAAAAAGACAAATAGATTGCGTTGGCCTGTACATGAGATAAAGGAAAGAAAATTAACAACAGCTGTGAAATGGAATAGTCCAAATCACCAAAGTAAACTGGACCTGGGCTTGTTGCAGGGATCTGAAGTTGCTAAACATTTTGTGAGTGTATGCATTCACACTTAGGACCATCTAATAATGAATATGTGCGTGATGAAAGTTGGGCAGCACACTAACGTCCTTACTCCACTCTGTATGCACGTATGGGTTTAACCCTTTCACTCCTTTGATTTTTCTTCGTACTTTTTTTTTTTGCATTTTCGTCAAGTCTGTCTTTGTACGGACCTGCCGTGTTTTCCGTCATTTTGTACATAACTGTTTTTGGGGCAAATAAAATGCAAGTAGGGATTAAAACCGCAGAATTAATGATTACTGGTGCTGGAAATGCTAGCGCTTGATGCAGTGTTTTGATTTTGCTGCCACTCGTACTCACTATGCAATGCGCGAAAGTCACGTGGTCTGTCAATCTCTATTGTAACTCTTTGTTTATGTGTCTAAGCAAAGGTTTTCTGGATTGTCTGCAGGTTGTGCAAAACACTGCAGCTAGGCTGTTGACAAAACCTCCAAGTATTCACATGTGACACCATTGCTATTTCAGCTACACTGGCTTCCTGTTGACTTTAGAGTACATTTTAAGATCCTAGTCTTGACATTTAGAGCCTTAGACTGGCACCACCCTACATCGCCGATCTGCTACAGCCCTATGTCCCTAGCAGGTCCCTGAGGTCATCTGATCAGGGCTTACTTGCTATAAAACAGACTAAGATGAGAACAAAGGGTGACAGAGCTTTTGCCACTGTGGCCCCGAGACTGTGGAACTCTCCTTCATACATTAAGAACCATGGACTCGGTAGTTGTTTTTAAAAAACAACTCAAAACTCACCTTTTTAAAACTGTTTTTGGTTAAATTTCTGCCTGTTTTATATTGTCTGGTTTACCCTTTGATTATTTGTTATCTTAAGTGCAGCACTTTGTGATTCTGTCTAGAAAGGTGCTATACAAATAAGATATATTTTTTATTTATTTATTATTTAAACGTCAGATATTTTAAATTTAGCTGTTTTTTGTTTGGTTCATCTCATTTTGAGTTAGGCACCATTTTGCAGCTTCTTATATTCTCTATATTATTTTACAAGTAGCTTGAAACAAAAGAGGAAGCCCATTCATGGTATGCATAAACTATTTTATTTACAAGAGGTGAAAACAGGTCAGTATATCAGTGGTGACATATAATTTGATGAGTAGTAGGAGTAGGAGGAGGGAACTGATCAATAATTTCTACTCTGGCTCTTACCAGTCGTATCTGCCCCTGTCCAACCATCTCACTCAAGTCACTGTGGCCTAAGCACACTCACATTTTGGCAAGGTTCACTATAAGTTCACTTCTACACCACAGTTTTTTTTTTACAGGACAGGATGGTCCTCTTACAATACACAACACAGGGGTCGGTGCATTGGTGGTTCTTGGTGTCCGGGGCTGGGCGCTCAGGTATGTACCAGCTCACTCCCGGTGGCTACTTGGCGGGGCCTGGCGCCTGTTGCTCGGTCAGGCCTCTTCCGTGGCGCGGGGGGCCCTCGGGCCTCCGGCCTCTGGGCCTGCGGCTCGGTCCACTCTGGCAGGCCGGTGCAGGCCCCTCTAGCTTCTGCTCGGTGGCTACTGGGTGACCCCTCGTCTGGGGATCCTCAGCCCTTCCCATGAGGGTGGCACGGATGCCCCTCCGGTGGTCCTCCTTGAGCTCTCGCACTCTGGGGCCTCTGGATGTCTGGGGCCTGGATCTCCTCCGTGCCTGCTTCATGCCCTGGGGGATGGGGCTATGGCTCCCTACACCCTCTTGTGGACCATTACATGGGGAAACCATTTGAATACAAGCGCGCTGATCCACACTGGTGTGCACATGGATGCTCACTGTTCGTAGACTTAAATCACACCTTTCTTGGCTGCTACTTCAAAGCACATTGTGCGCTGTCTGTCCTGCGTACTGCACAACAACATTCAATATTTAGTATTTACTGCTGTTTACACTTAGCTAGATTAATGCAATGGTGTTGTGTTTAGTATGTTGCTTTGTTTTGTTTTTTTTGCTTGTTTTCTATTCTTTTTCTCTCAACAGGTGATCCAGGAGATTTTTTTTTTCCCCTTTCTCACTGTCCCTCTCCCCTTCTGTTTTTCTTTTCCTTCCTCTTTCTTTCTCCCTTTCCTATCCCTCACTCATGTCTGTCCCGTCTGTAACAATTGAAAATAAAATAAAATAAATAATAAAAACAAAGGTCGATCAAATGGACCAATACGGCAATGCCCTGATCATCCATTTGGCAAAATAAATCCATTGGGTATCCTTGTTGGTCTTCAGACAACAATTCTGACGGCTAAAGAACCAAATGGGACAGGCAAAAAACAAAAAAACAAAAACAAATAACCACCTCCCACCGTAAAGGTGCGAGGTGCTTGTGTTGCATTGGTTACCCCCCTTGGTTACAAAAGACAAGGCACTATGTGTGTGTGTGCACGTGTGTGTGTGTGTGTCATGGGGGTGCGTTTGTGTGACCTCCTGCTCACAACTGTTTTTAACAACATCCTTGGTCATAAAGAGGGTAATCTCCCCCACACCGAATATATGGCTCAATTCCTGTATTGGTTCACCATGCACAACACAAGTCTGTGACCTGCCACAGAGAAGGCTCTGTCGCCACAAGAATGAAGTAGTCCGTGGAATTGACAACATGAGTTTTGAACTGGACCTCATGGTTTTCTCTAGAGCAAAAATAATTAGGAGCTCAGACAGGTAAGAAGGGGCTTGGCTGGTAAGTGCCTTAAAAACAAAAAAGTAAGAGTTTAAATTGGATCCTGTAAGGAACAGTGACCCAGTGTAAAGAGGCTGGGGTTATATGCTCCTTCCATTTAGTGCCAGTTAGTTCTGAAATTTCAAGTTATTTTCTCGAAATTTTGAGATAAGTAACACGGAATTTTGAGTTAGTGCTGCCAATCGGTAATCTACGTGGTAATCTACGTGAATGATGTCATTTCCTTGTTACCCAGAAGCTGAAGCCCTCAGCTACAAATGACATGGCTAAGCTACCAGTATTACAGTAGCTTAGCTACTGTAATACTAAGCTACTGTATTAGTATTACAGTAGCTTAGTACTGTAATACTAATGCACAAATTGCTGAGTATTTTCAGTGTGGCTTCAGAAATGCTGAAATCCTTGTGTTATTAGCCGAATCACATGGCATTACTATCGGCAAACATACTCTCGAAAGCACCAATTTGTTGCGATCCGGTTTTGAGTGGGCATTCCTCTGTGCCATATCCTTCCAGGTAACAACAAAATGACATCGTTCATGTAGATTGCTAATTGGCAGAGCTAACTCGAATTTTTTAACTACTTTTCTCAAAAATTTGAATTACGGCCCTGGTCATAATGTCTCTTGGTGGCTGTTTCTTGTTCTGTCTGTGTCTTTAAGTCCCTGCAGGTCCCTGATTGGATAAGCTGACGGCTGCTGATTGGTCCCCTGATCATGGTTGCTTTAAAAATCCCTCACCAGCAGTTGTTCGGGGCAGCAACTGACAGCAGCATAGACCTGACCCTGGCCTCCAAACTTTGTGATATTTGTGACTCTCGTGACTTACTGAGCTTTGTACATAGTATGTACAATAGTTTTCACTTGTAAATAGCACATTGTAAATAGCACTGAAACAGAAGGGGTGAGCTGCCTTATTATTTTCCTTGTACTATTTTCTCCTGTTTATTTCAGTTAGGGAGTTAGGTGTAGCGTTTGTCTTTTGTTTGGTTTTTGTTTCACATAGGGTTTTAGATAGCACCTCCTCACCTGACTTAGCTTGTTTTGTTTGTTATTTTGGCCTTTGTTCACCCCGGAGCTTCATTTTCAGTGTAGAAAAATAAAGCACCGTTCACTAAGAAATTGTGTTTTCTGTGTATGGTTTTGGGGCCCAGGGCGGGTTCACTTCCTTTTTTAACTTTTATGTTACGTTCCTGTACCCCTAGACTGGGACGTAACAATGTGTCTGTGAAGGTTCTCAGTCATCCAAGTCATCGTAGTCAAAGGAGCTTGCAAAGAAAAGCGTCTGGACTTCTTTAAGTTGCTTGAAGACGTTTCACCTCTCATCCGAGAAGCTTCTTCAGTTCTAAGGTCAAATGGTGAAGAGTCCCAGATATAAACCTAGTGGGAGTATCCCCCCACAGAGGGACAAAAGGACCCCCTGGGACGTAACAATGAAATCCTTGTGTTATTAGCCGAATCACATGGCATTACTATCAGCAAACATACTCTAGAAAGTGCCAATTTGTTGCGATCCGGTTTTGAGTAGGCATTCCTCTGTGCCATATCCTTCCAGGTAACAACAAAATGTCGTTCATGTAGATTGCTAATTGGCAGGGCCAACTCAAATTTTTTAATTACTTTTCTCAAAATTTTGAGTTAATAAGTCGAAATTTCGAGTAAATAACTCAAAATTTCAAGTTATGGATACTTTTTTTGTGTGGTGGAAAAGAGCTTCCATAATCTTTACCTTACAATATAAACCTTGAAGGGTTTGTTAGTGTCATTTGGTCCTGTATAAATAAAATTGAACTTTATGATGCTATGATCTTTTCTGATTAATGTATTGGGTTTTCTGCTTGTTGGCTTGAACATCATACCAGAGCCTTCTGAATATTTGGATGAACTTCTGTCTTGGTAAGTTTTTATTTTCAGTTTTATTTGCATTTTTAAATAGTTAGTTTTCTCATTGGAATCATGTAAGGCTACATTTATGAACAAGGAACTACATTCCTGGACAAGCCCTGTTTTTCATTGAATACATTTTAATAATCAGACTAGCTGTACTTACGTTGGCCAGCCCTCCCCGGTCGAGACAGTGAAGAGGGTCAAAAAAGCCCACAGCACATTGTCATAATGGAACTCATACTTTTTCCACTCTCTGGGCATGGCGGCCACCTCATCTTTGTCATAATCTAGGAATTGTCCTCTGTAAGAAATAAAGCAAGTGGAGACAGGCACACAATAAGTAGCATTTGAAAGTTTAGTTACTTAAGCTCTGAAATATGAAGTGAGGCTGTGGGGATTTTTTTTAGACCAACTTGCAGTCTTTCTCCAGGCCTTTGGACTCATCAGTGCAATAAAAGAATTTCCCCTTGAAGAGCTGAACTGCGATGACGGCAAAGATAAACATGAAGAGGATGTAAACAATGAGGATGTTCAGCACATTCTTCAGAGAGTTAACCACACAGTCAAACACCGCCTGAGGACACAAACAGATTTTAAATTTTAAATGAAGAAGATTACACAAAATTTGTAAATATGATTTAATGCTGGTCGTTTTGTTACTATGCTGCTTTTTTAACTAGAGCTGTCTACAAAATGACTACTAATTAACTGCTACAGTGCTCAGCATAAATGAGTACACCCCACTACGTTTGTCAGAAAACCTTTAGTTTCCTTTCTATGAGATACTACTACAAAATATTCCCACAAATGTGGGCCATTGATTGCAAACAAGATTTGTTTATTTGTGCACACAAAAAAGTGATTTTCCTAACAAATTCATTCAAGCCCATGTCGCAAAAATGAGTACACCCCAATTAGGAGAAAAGCCACGCTTAAGACTTCAAAATTCGAATTAACAGGCATTCAAGCACAGGTGAGTCTAATGATTCATTTAAGAGATGTCCAGCAGACAGGTGACTATAAAAGGACATTAATTAACAAAGAAAAGCCCTTCCTGTCATGTTTCGGCTGTGTGCCGGCAGGAATTGGACCCAAACGCAAACTCACTGGAGACAGGACTGAACTCAAAATGGCAGCTTGTATTGCTGAACACAAAAACTCTACAAAATCTAAACTGAGAAGACTCTATCAAAACACACAGGGAGCTACAAGTAGAAACACACAGTCATGAGGGACAACTCGACACTGACTCAGAGAAACACAGGGTTTAAATACACTGGGAAGTAACGAGGGGAATGAGACACAGAAGGAGGGCACAGTTGGGAGAAATCAGGACTGACGAGACAAGCAAAGCAGGACGCATTCACATAAGACACGGACCATCAAAGTAAAACAGGAAGTATCACACAGAGACGCGAACTTGACACAGTGGAGACAGCAACTAAGAAACACAGAGACATAAACCATAAGGCAGAGGTCTAAGAAGACCAACCATGAGAACATAATGCAGAGTGACAGAAAACAAGAAAACTCAAACATGCAAAGACACACAATTACACAGAACAGAGGGGACACAGAGAGACATGAAGGGCAAGGGATCAAAACTAGAAGCGATAGAATAAATCACACACAAGTACAATAATACAAAAATCACAAAGAACTAAAAACGCTGGGTCAGGAGACCCAGGACCGTGACACTTCCCATTTCATGCTGTCAGCAATGGCTCCACATGGAAGAGAAATGTCACAAAATCTGAGAAAGGAAATAATTTCTTTACACAAAAAAGGTGAGGGCTACAATAAGATCAGAAAAGCTTTACATATCAGTCAAAGCACTGTAGCAAAAGTGATCCAAAAATTTAAAAAAAGATGGAATTGCAACCATTGTACAGAGACGTCCAGGCTCTCCACGTAAGTTAACATCTTGACAGGAGCGTCTTCTGATGCGCACACTTCAGAGGAATGGCATGCATGGGTATCGTCCATGAAGAAAGCCTCTCCTAAAGTCCATGCACAAAAAAGCACGCCTAGAATTTGCTATGGCCCATGCTGAAAAAGATGAAGACTACTAGGACTCTATAATCTGGAGTGATGAGACAAAGATCACTGTTTTTGGAACTAATGGTTTCAAAACTGTATGGCGTGGTAAAGGTGAGGATTTCAAAAAGAAATGCATGGTGCCTATAGTGAAACATGGTGGTGGCAGTAGTGATGGGATTTCCGGCTCTTTTTAGAGAACCGGCTCTTTCGGTTAGGCTCACTAAAAAGAGCTGGCTCTTTCGGCTCCGAACCGGCTCTTCAGGTTGTTTTGTTGCTTTAATTAATTAATTATTAACAATAATATAAAATTATGCACAAAAGGAATTACTAATGTAAAATAAAAAAGTGGTTTTATTTATATATTTTTATATATAAATATATGCGGTGGCCCCTAGAGATGAAACATGTACAAACTCCAAAACACATTTCTAGCATGAACTGAACTTCCAAAACAGAGCTACCTAGATCACTTAAATTACACAATTGAAAGCATGTGTGTATTGTTTGTGTATTTATACACAAGCACTCATATATATTCAAATAATTTAAAAAAATGTTCATTTACCTGTTATTACCACACACCAAATCCG